CCAACACTATCACAGAGACTAGTCATCGCTGTGACTGTCCAACACTGTGAGTCATCACTGTGACTGTCCAACACTATCACAGAGATATGTCATCGCTTTGACAGTCCAACACTATTACAGAGACTAGAGTCATTGCTGTGACTGTCCAACATTATCACAGAGACTAGAGTCATCGCTGTGACTGTCCAACACTGTCACAGAGACGTGTGTCATCGCTGTGACTGTCCAACACTATCACAGAGATGTGTGTCATTGTCGTGTCTGTCCAACACTGTCACAGATACATGAGTCACCGCTGTGACTGTCCAACACTGTCACAGAGACGTGTGTCATCGCTGTGACTGTCCAACACTATCACAGAGACTAGTCATCGCTGTGACTGTCCAACACTGTCACAGAGACGTGTGTCATCGCTGTGACTGTCCAACACTATCACAGAGACATGAGTCATCGCTGTGACTGTCCAACAATATCACAGAGATTAGTCATCGCTGTGACAGTCCAACACTATTACAGAGACTAGAGTCATGGATGTGACTGTCCAACACTATCACAGAGACTAGAGTCATCGCTGTGACTGTCCAACACTATTACAGAGACTAGAGTCATCGCTTTGACTGTCTAACACTATCACAGAGACTAGAATTATCGCTATGACTGCTCAACACTATCACAGAGATTAGAGTCATCGCTGTGACAGTCCAACACTATTACAGAGACTAGAGTCATCGCTGTGACAGTCCAACACTATTACAGAGACTAGAGTCATCGCTGTGACTGTCCAACACTATCACAGAGACTTGTCATTGCTGTGACTGTCCAACACTATCACAGAGACGTAGGTCATCGCTGTGAGTGTCCAACACTATCACAGAGACATATGTCATCGCTGTGACTGTCCAACACTGTCACAGAGCTTAGAGTCATCGCTGAGACTGTCCAACACTGTCACAGAGACTAGAGTCATCGCTGTGACTGTCCAACACTGTCACAGAGCTTAGAGTCATCGCTGAGACTGTCCAACACTGTCACAGAGACGTGAGTCATCGCTGTGACTCCCCATCATTACCACAGAGACTAGAGTCATCGCTGTGACTGTCCAACACTATCACAGAGACTAGAGTCATCGCTGTGACTTCCCTACACTGTCACAGAGCTTAGAATCATCGCTGAGAATGTCTTACAATATCACAGAGACTTGTCATCGCTGTGACTGTCCAACACTGTCACAGAGACGTGAGTCATCGCTTTGACTGTCCAACACTGTCACAGAGACATGTGTCATCGCTATGACTGTCCAACACTATCACAGAGACATGTGTCATCACTGTGACTGTCCAACACTGTTACAGAGACGTGTGTCATCGCTGTTACTGTCCAACACTGTGTCATCGCTGTGACTGTCCAACACTATCACAGAGACTTGTCATCGCTGTGACTGTCCAACACTGTCACAGAGACGTGTGTCATCGCTGTGACTGTCCAACACTGTTACAGAGACGTGTGTCATCGCTATTACTGTTCAACACTGTCACAGAGACGTGTGTCATCTCTGTTACTGTCCAACACTATCACAGAGATGTGACTGACATTATCACAACGTGAGTCATCGCTGTGACTGTCCAGCACTGTCACAGAGACTAGTCATCGCTGTTACTGTCCAACACTATCACAGAGACTAGAGTCATCGCTGTGAGTGTCCAACACTATCACAGAGACATATGTCATCGCTGTGAGTGTCCAACACTGTCACAGAGCTTAGAGTCATCGCTGAGACTGTTCAACACTGTCACAGAGACTAGAGTCATCGCTGTGACTGTCCAACGCTATCACAGAGATTTGAATTATCGCAATAACTGCTCAACACTATCACAGAGATTAGAGTCATCGCTGTGACTGTCCAACACTATTACAGAGACGTGAGTCATCGCTGTGACTGTCCAACACTATCACAGAGACGCTGACTGTCCAACACTGTCACAGTCATCGCTGTGTGTCATCGCTGTGACTAGTCACAGAGATCGTCATGTTACTGTCCAACACTATCACAGAGACTAGTCATCGCTGTGACTGTCCAGCACTGTCACAGAGACGTGTGTCATCGCTGTGACTGTCCAACACTGTCACAGAGACGTGTGTCATCTTTGTTACTGTCCAACACTATCACAGAGACTAGTCATCGCTGTGACTGTCCAACACTGTCACAGAGACGTGTGTCATCGCTGTGACTGTCCAACACTATCACAGAGACGTGAGTCATCGCTGTGACTGTCCAACACTATCACAGAGACTAGTCATCGCTGTGACAGTCCAGCATTGTCACAGAGACTAGAGTCATCGCTGTGACTGACCAACACTATAACAGAGACATGAGTCATCGCTGTGACTGTCCAACACTATCACAGAGACTAGAGTCATCGCTGTGACTGACCAATACTATAACAGAGACATGAGTCATCGCTGTGACTGCTCAACACTATCACAGAGACTAGAGTCATCGCTGTGACTGTCTCTAGAGTCATCGCTGTGACTGTCCAACAGTGTCACAGAGCTTAGAGTCATCGCTGAGACTGTCCGACACTGTCACAGAGATTAAGGTCATTGCTGTGACTGTCCAACACTATCACAGAGACTAGAGTCATCGCTGTGACTGTCTAACACTATCACAGAGACTAGAGTCATCGCTATGAGTGTCCAACACTGTGACTTCCCTACACTGTCACAAAGACATGGGTCATCACTGTGACTGTCCAACACTGTCACAGAGACGTGTGGCATCGCTGTGACTGTCCAACACTATCACAGAGACGTGAGTCATCGCTGTGACTGTCCAACACTATCACAGAGACTTGTGTCATCGCTGTGACTGTCCAACACTATCACAGAGACTCACAGAGAGTCATCGCTGTGACTGTCCAACACTATCACAGAGATTATGAGTCATCGCTGTGACTGTCCAACACTATCATCGCTGTGACTGTCCAACACTATCACAGAGACATGAGCCATCGCTGTGACTGTCCAACACTGTCACAGAGACATGAGTCATCGCTGTGACTGTCCAACACTGTCACAGAGACGTGTGTCATCGCTGTGACTGTCCAACACTATCACAGAGACATGAGCCATCGCTATGACTGTCCAACACTGTCACAGAGACGTGAGTCATCGCTGTGACTCCCCATCATTACCACAGAGACTAGACGCATCGCTGTGACTGCCCAACACTATCACAGAGACTAGAGTCATCGTTGTGACTGTCCAACACCGTCGAAGAGACTAGACTCATCGCTGTGACTCCCAAACACTGTCACAGAGACGAGAGTCATAGCTTTGACTCCCCAACACTGTCACAGAGACTAGAGTCATCGCTGTGACTGTCCAACACTGTCACAGAGACATGAGTCGTCGCTGTGACTGTCCAACACTGTCACAGAGACATGAGTCATCGCTGTGACTATCCAACACTGTCACAGAGATGTGTGGCATCGCTGTGACTGTCCAACACTATCACAGAGACTAGAGTCATCGCTGTGACTGTCCAACACTGTCACAGAGACTAGAGTCATCGCTGTGACTGACCAACACTATAACAGAGACATGAGTCACCGCTGTGACTGCCCAACACTGTCACAGAGACATGTGTCATCGCTATGACTGTCCAACACTATCACAGAGACATGTGTCATCACTGTGACTGTCCAACACTGTTACAGAGACTAGAGTCATCGCTGTGACTGTCCAACACTGTCACAGAGACTAGAGTCATCGCTGTGACTGTCCAACACTATCACAGAGACTAGAGTCATCGCTGTGACTGTCCAACACTATCACAGAGACTAGAGTCATCGCTGTGAGTGTCCAACACTATCACAGAGACGTGTGTCATCGCTGTGAGTGTCCAACACTGTCACAGAGACGTGAGTCATCGCTGTGACTGTCCAACACTGTCACAGAGACTAGAGTCATCGCTTTGACCGTCCAACACTGTCACAGAGACGTGTGTCATCTCTGTTACTGCCCAACGCTATCACAGAGATTTGAATTATCGCAATAACTGCTCAACACTATCACAGAGATTAGAGTCATCGCTGTGACTGTCCAACACTATCACAGAGATTAATCATCGCTGTGACTGTCCAACATTGTCACAGAGACGTGAGTCACCGCTTTGACTGTCTAACACTATCACAGAGACTAGAGTCATCTCTGTGACTGTCCAACACTGTCACAGAGACATGAGTCATCGATGTGACTGTCCAACACTATTACAGAGATTAGAGTCATCGCTGTGACTGTCTAACAATATCACAGAGATTAGTCATCGCTGTGACAGTCCAACACTATCACAGAGACTAGAGTCATCGCTGTGACTGCTCCTTACAATACTATGAATCTAATTTGCTATCTAAACAGTACACTGCTCACATGAATAATTGCTATTATTTTTGTAACCTTCTATGTGTGCTCTCAGCGGGAAGTTACATAGTAGTTATGTATAACATCGACAAGTATGGCCTTTAAGGCACGCGTGTTGCATGGTGATTTATATGATATCTTCGGGAGAAAGCACGAAACTGGAAAAACTAGTGCGCAGCAGTGTTGTGACATTGAGTTACACTGATCGTCATACCATGAGGTAGTCTTCATAGAGACACATCATTTTCTGATATTTTGATTAATTTCTGATAGCATTAAACAATGGCACGGCTGACGGAAGTTCAGAGGGATCGGGCTATTGCTATGATTATGCAAGGTTAAAGCAAATAGAGGTTGTCAGACATTTCCGTCTCCATATTTGTACTAAAGAACGTCTTGTTAGACGTCTCAGGGAAACTGGGCGGGCTGCTGACAGACCTAGGTCTGGGCGTCCGCGCGTGACGTCACAATGTCAGGACAGGTTTATTCGTTTCGCTCATTTTCGCAATCAACACCTTACTGCCACTGAATATGCCATTCATACCATAGGTACTCATAACCGTCCTATACCTTCAAATTACCACAGGAAACGACTGCGGGAAGTTGATCTGCGGGCATGTCACAAATTTGTAGGTCCGCCCCTTACCGCTGCTCGTCGTCATCGTCGTACGGCCTGGTTGGCGGCACATGCCCCCAGAATGTTCCCACTGAGACAGTGGAGGCGGGTCTTGTTTACTGATGAGTCCCGGTATACCCTTTATCGAGCAGACGTTCGACGTCATATATACCGACGTCGCGGAGAACGTTTTGCCGACTGCTGCGTAGTAGAGTCGGATAGGTTTGGGATGGATTGGTTATGGTGTGGTGAGGAATCTCACAAAGAGTTAAATCACGAGTGGTTGTGGTAGCGGGTAATTCAACTGCCAGTAAGTATAAAGATGAGATCCATCGACCCCATCTTGTCCCATTATTGCAGCGAAGCAGCATCTCATTACTGCAGGCTAATGCTCGGCACCACGTAACGAGGATCTGTTGCGACTTTCCTACTAACAACAATATCCGCCTACTGGACTGGCCGCCATACAGTCCCGACCTATCCCCTATTGGCCACTTGTGGGACCTGCTAGATTCTGGCCCAACTGAGAGAATGGGCCAACATCCTAGTGAGGAGGATAAACTCACTCATGAACTCCATGCCTAGGATAATCAGGGCTGTGGAGAGAGCGAATGGGGGACATACCCGTTACTGACAAGCCAGCTCCAACAATCAGTCCATTTCGATTTCAGATTACAGAGGTCTCTTTCAATTCCTTTCAATTACTCCTAAATCACTTACCAGATACAAATTGTTGATTTTGCAGTTTGTTCTGTATGGATTAATTTTCATTCTTACTTAAAAATATTGAACATTATATTCGGCGTCTTGCCTAGAATCATCTTTACCATGGTAACTGTGTTAAGGTTTAATGTAATAGAATCAAGTTTACCCTGTGTTTCTTTATCCCTTGGGTATATATAGGTATAGCAGACTGGTTATGATAATACATCATTGCATATATATATATATATATTTATAGAAACGAGGTAACAATTATATGAATAGTAGAGAAATAAAAAAAATCCTCTGATTTCTGACATACGATTGCCACGGTTACCAATTTTTAAAAACGCTAAAAATGCAAGAGTATCAATTCCATTCGAACACTACAACTTTATAGTAAAAATTTATTTCTGAACATTTGTTTTAAAATTAACAACACTGCCATGGTAACAAATTACTTACATTTCTGGAAATTCCAACTCGAAATGCCATCACAGCATGACCACATGTGGACAACTAGGAACTTTCACTTCCTGTAAAGCTAGTTTTTGGTGTGTAGACACACATTCGAGACTGCCCAAACAGTAATATAAAACTTTACATCGTCCACTTAGACATAACAAAATCAATTAAGGTAAAGATTTATTTTTTTTCATAATTTTAATTAAAGCCTGTATAATGGGGTAATCTAATGAGCAAAACTATCGCCATGGCCACACCGAGAAATTGTGTACTTCTACCTGGAGTACACTGGCGAACGGTTGTAGAAGGAAACTTTCTTGTTCCCCATATCAACTGACAAATACACTTACGACACAGGGTTTCGAGGAATGCAAGTTGATAAAGATTTTGGGGCGTTTTACAGTTGTCATCATGTTTTTCCAGGAATCTCCTGAGTTTTGCCGATATTTTTGTTTACATTCACATCAAATATCCAAGTACTTAGGTATATGTTACAGTGGATCAAAAGGTCGACTGTCTCTCAATGCTGATCAATATGTCATGTTATCTATTTTCAAATTTCGTACAGTAATAAAATAAAATGTTTACATATGAATCACCCGAGATCTCGTGTCACTTAGTAATGTGTAATATTAACCAGTATAGGTTACCACTATAATACTTATTGGTCTGATAACATTTATAATGTATATATGTAGTATAAATACTGTTTCCTGGTATATTGACAAGCTATGATTAGTAGAGACAACTTCGTGTCATTACGCAATCCACGTTTCATGTGTTGTATTACCGGAACTGAGTCAACGTCTAAAAATAATACATTGAGATATATATCACATAATCCTTTACATTGAATCAATGGGGATATTTAAGTCTGCTCAGTGTGGTATTACATTAAAATCTGACATATTTACCAGGTGTGAGTCTGCTCTGTGTGGTATTACATTACCATAGTGTTAGTCTGCTCTGTGTGGTATTACATTACCAGGTGTGAGTCTGCTCTGTGTGGTATTACATTACCATAGTGTGAGTCTGCTCTGTGTGGTATTACATTACCATAGTGTTAGTCTGCTCTGTGTGGTATTACATTAAAATCTGACATATTTACCAGGTGTGAGTCTGCTCTGTGTGGTATTACATTAAAACTAGACATATTTACCACAGTGAGTCTGCTCTGTGTGTTATTACATTACCATAGTGTTAGTCTGCTCTGTGTGGTATTACATTAAAACTTGATATATTTACCACAGTGAGTCTGCTCTGTGTGTTATTACATTACCATAGTGTTAGTCTGCTCTGTGTGGTATTACATTAAAACTTGATATATTTACCACAGTGAGTCTGCTCTGTGTGGTATTACACTACCATGGTGTGAGTCTGCTCTGTGTGGTATTACATTACCATGGTGTAAGTCTGCTCTGTGTGGTATTACATTACCATAGTGTTAGTCTGCTCTGTGTGGTATTACATTACCACGGTGTGAGTCTGCTCTGTGTGGTATTACATTAAAACTAGACATATTTACCAGGTGTGAGTCTGCTCTGTGTGGTATTACATTACCACGGTGTGAGTCTGCTCTGTGTGGTATTACATTACCATAGTGTTAGTCTGCTCTGTGTGGTATTACATTACCATGGTGTAAGTCTGCTCTGTGTGGTATTACATTAAAACTAGACATATTTACCACAGTGAGTCTGCTCTGTGTGGTAATACATTACCACGGTGTTAGTCTGCTCTGTGTGGTATTACATTACCACGGTGTTAGTCTGCTCTGTGTGGTATTACATTAAAACTAGACATATTTACCAGGTGTTAGTCTGCTCTGTGTGGTAATACATTCCATTGTGTTAGTCTGCTCTGTGTGGTATTACATTACCATAGTGTTAGTCTGCTCTGTGTGGTATTACATTACCATAGTGTTAGTCTGCTCTGTGTGGTATTACATTAAAACTAGACATATTTACCAGGTGTTAGTCTGCTCTGTGTGGTAATACATTCCATTGTGTTAGTCTGCTCTGTGTGGTATTACATTACCATAGTGTTAGTCTGCTCTGTGTGGTATTACATTACCATAGTGTAAGTCTGCTCTGTGTGGTATTACATTACCATAGTGTAAGTCTGCTCTGTGTGGTATTACATTACCACGGTGTTAGTCTTCTCTGTGTGGTATTACATTACCATAGTGTAAGTCTGCTCTGTGTGGTATTACATTAAAACTAGACATATTTACCACAGTGAGTCTGCTCTGTGTGGTAATACATTACCATATTTACAGGTGTTAGTCTTCTCTGTGTGGTATTACATTACCATAGTGTAAGTCTGCTCTGTGTGGTATTACATTAAAACTAGACATATTTACCACAGTGAGTCTGCTCTGTGTGGTAATACATTACCACGGTGTTAGTCTGCTCTGTGTGGTATTACATTAAAACTAGACATATTTACCAGGTGTTAGTCTGCTCTGTGTGGTAATACATTCCATTGTGTTAGTCTGCTCTGTGTGGTATTACATTACCATGGTGTTAGTCTGCTCTGTGTGGTATTACATTACCACGGTGTGAGTCTGCTCTGTGTGGTATTACATTAAAACTAGACATATTTACCAGGTGTTAGTCTGCTCTGTGTGGTAATACATTAAAACTAGACATATTTACCACGGTGTAAAATGATTTTCAGTGCCTACAACGAGTGAATTTGACTAAATGATGGTTATATTAGAACAACTTGAGAGTAGTGTTTGAAGATTCGTAATAAGTCCTGTGTTTAATTGCCTTTACTAACTGTGTATGTGGCGCTACACATGTATCAAAAGCCTTTAGTGCCCTCACTTCCTCTGCTATTCACAATTACATATAACGAAAACTTTAATTTCTAAGACAGAGGTGGAATCCACAGTTCTCTCACAGAATTCATAAACTACTTCACTCCGCCTCTTCCGCTTTCAGGACCAATCAGAGCAGTTTGTATTATAGATAGCTGAGTGAATCACACGGAACAAATTTGTAAACAGACCTTTGTATTTAACCGATCCTTAACACTACAGAACAGTGTTACAACGATGTAAAATCCCCGCGATATTCTTGATCTTAAAGAAGAGAATCCACAGGCCTAGACCCCGAGGAATTGATTGACCATACACCAGGTAAGTGAAATCACAACTTGTTACGAAGTTTTAACCTACTCTGTGATAGTGAGACTTAGTGAACACCTGTATAACTTCATGGCTGTATACACCTGTGTTGTTGAAGTGTGACTCGTCTGTACCAGTGTCAGAAGTAATGAACGCGTGGACACACTGTTTACAGTACATCGTAAAATATACAGGTGTCTGGTGACAATGGCTGTCGCCATTATTAAGAAACATCCCGTGATTGTGAGTTGTGTTCGGGCTTCTCGTCTCGGACGGGGCCAGTATTACAGCCATTTAGTGAGTTAGGGGATCAGAATGACTAAGGTTTAGTGGATGTAGAAAACCGTTAGAGACTTTGTTGGCTGATAAAACGACGTCACTGCAGGTAAAACGCATATCAGACTGGCCTATATGTGGCATATATTCATGTACATGTGATAGTAGGCTGATGGGGGAAGGGTCGGATTTCAGCACCGGGGCCAGCTGTATAATATGACCCTGAAAATATGTGTGTGTGTGAATGGTAGAATGAAACGCTTCATTGTGGAGTAGACTACAAATATCAACAACATATCACAACATCACTGTGTAACTGCCTTGTGTGACGTTCTGTTAAATTAAAAGTGTTAAGGTTTGATTGTAGACACCTGGTTGACGTACAGGCCTATACCACATCTACATGTGTTGTACATGTATATCGACTACAGTACTGGGTCGGAGGTACCCCTGGCCGTCAAACTCCTGATACAGTTTTTAACATGCACCAGATGGTACGCCGGCACAATTGATAGTTATCGTGTCGAAGGAATTCAATAAACGGTGGTCGTTATAATATCACTATCAAACCATGTTTACAATGTAATTGTGTTTACAACTATGATAAGATCGAAGATGATCGACCTAGATAAAAGTAATGGCAGATCCTGTAAAAATACTCATACTTCTTAAGAGTACAAGTAAAGGTGAAAGAATCCTGTCTGAAACACTGGGAAGGGTTATAGAATCCTGTCTTAGGTACGGGGAAGGGTGATAGAATTCTGTCTTAGGTACGGGGAAGGGTGATAGAATCCTTGTCTTAGGTACGGGGAAGGGCGATAGAATCCTGTATTATTTACGGGGAAGGGTGATAGAATCCTGTCTTAGGTACGGGGAAGGGCGATAGAATCCTGTATTATTTACGGGGAAGGGTGATAGAATCCTGTCTTAGGTACGGGGAAGGGCGATAGAATCCTTGTCTTAGGTACAGGGAAGGGCGATAGAAAACCCTGTCTTAGGTACTGGGAAGGGCGATAGAAAACCCTGTCTTAGGTACGGGGAAGGGTGATAGAAAACCCTGTCTTAAGTACGGGGAAAGGTGATAGAAAACCCTGTCTTATGTACTGGGAAGGGCGATAGAAAACCCTGTCTTAGGTACGGGGAAGGGCGATAGAAAACCCTGTCTTAGGTACGGGGAAGGGTGATAGAAAACCCTGTCTTAAGTACGGGGAAAGGTGATAGAAAACCCTGTCTTAGGTACTGGGAAGGGCGATAGAAAACCCTGTCTTAGGTACGGGGAAGGGCGATAGAAAACCCTGTCTTAAGTACAGGGAAGGATGATAGAAAACCCTGTCTTAGGTACGGGGAAGGGCGATAGAAAACCCTGTCTTACGTAAGGGAAAGGGTGAGAGAATTGAATTAAACACGGAATTCCTGTTTCTGAAAGTTTTATTTTATTGCCGGAAGTGTAAATGTAATTAAGTTTTAAATTCTCTTCTTTGACTGCTTTTGGCATGTGAACCGCTATCACAAAAATCACATTGTGTAATGAGTTCTCGGAGATTTTGGACCGGAGCATGGATACACCAAAGGCCCCTAACTGTAGCTGTGGTAAGTGTGTTATGGATGTTCATTTACGAGATCAGAGTACTTCTCAACATCCGCTGTAGTTCTGTTAAACCATTTCGTTCCCATGGGGACCACTGGCTGCTGGTGCTTGCTAGGTATTATTACTGTGAAAAACGTTCACTGTTTAGATATATACGCTAAGAACGGGTATGGTGTTAATGTAGATCAGGTCTATTAAACCTGTTGTAATTACAAACCATTTAGTTTGATGCTAATCAAAACACGAGAGCCCTCTCCCATATACAATGTCATTACATCAATACTTTTGTAGAACAACAGGTGTAATGAGTTCAAATCATGTATGTAGTTACATAATGTACGATGGCTCTAATTAGACAACATCCAAGCGAGTACAATGGGAGCAGAGATAGATACGTGTTACGTGTACGATAATTGTAGATATACAACACGTGTCACGTGTACGATGGTTGTAGATATACAACACAAATCACGTGTACGATGGTTGTAGATATACAACACGTGTCATGTGTACGATGGTTGTAGATATACAACACGTGTCATGTGTACGATGTTTGTAGATATACAACACGTGTCACGTGTACGATGTTTGTAGATACACCTCACGTGTCATGTGTACGATGGTTGTAGATATACAACACGTGTCACGTGTACGATGTTTGTAGATATACAACACGTGTCACGTGTACGATGGTTGTAGATATACAACACAAATCACGTGTACGATGGTTGTAGATATACAACACGTGTCATGTGTACGATGGTTGTAGATATACAACACGTGTCACGTGTACGATGTTTGTAGATATACAACACGTGTCACGTGTACGATGTTTGTAGATACACCTCACGTGTCATGTGTACGATGGTTGTAGATATACAACACGTGTCACGTGTACGATGTTTGTAGATATACAACACGTGTCATGTGTACGATGGTTGTAGATATACAACACTAATCACGTGTACGATGGTTGTAGAAATACAACACGTGTCACCTGTACGATGGTTGTTGACCTCATTGTTATCAAGGTGTTGCGTATATGATCTTCAGGACTCAATGTTTACAAGGTGTTGTGTATACCGCCGTCAGACCTCAATGTTTACAAGGTGTTGTGTATACCGCCGTCAGACCTCAATGTTATCAAGGTGTTGTGTATACGGCCGTCAGACCTCAATGTTATCAAGGTGTTGTGTATACGGTCGTCAGACTTCAATGTTATCAAGGTGTTGTGTATACCGCCGTCAGACCTCAATGTTAACAAGGTGTTGTGTATACCGCCGTCAGACCTCGATGTTTACAAGGTGTTGTGTATACCGCCGTCAGACCTTAATGTTTACAAGGTGTTGTGTATACCGCCGTCAGACCTCAATGTTTACAAGGTGTTGTGTATACCGCCGTCAGACCTCAATGTTATCAAGGTGTTGTGTATACCGCCGTCAGACCTCAATGTTAACAAGGTGTTGTGTATACCGCCGTCAGACCTCAATGTTAACAAGGTGTTGTGTATACCGCCGTCAGACCTCAATGTTTACAAGGTGTTGTGTATACGGCCGGCCGTCAGACCTCAATGTTTACAAGGTGTTGTGTATACCGCCGTCAGACCTCAATGTTATCAAGGTGTTGTGTATACGGCCGTCAGACCTCAATGTTTACAAGGTGTTGTGTATACCGCCGTCAGACCTCGATGTTATCAAGGTGTTGTGTATACGGCCGTCAGACCTCAATGTTATCAAGGTGTTGTGTATACCGCCGTCAGACCTCAATGTTATCAAGGTGTTGTGTATACCGCCGTCAGACCTCAATGTTATCAAGGTGTTGTGTATACGGCCGTCAGACCTCAATGTTTACAAGGTGTTGTGTATACGGCCGTCAGACCTCAATGTTAACAAGGTGTTGTGTATACGGCCGTCAGACCTCAATGTTAACAAGGTGTTGTGTATACCGCCGTCAGACCTCAATGTTAACAAGGTGTTGTGTATACCGCCGTCAGACCTCAATGTTATCAAGGTGTTGTGTATACCGCCGTCAGACCTCAATGTTATCAAGGTGTTGTGTATACGGCCGTCAGACCTCAATGTTTACAAGGTGTTGTGTATACGGCCGTCAGACCTCAATGTTAACAAGGTGTTGTGTATACCGCCGTCAGACCTCAATGTTATCAAGGTGTTGTGTATACCGCCGTCAGACCTCAATGTTATCAAGGTGTTGTGTATACCGCCGTCAGACCTCAATGTTATCAAGGTGTTGTGTATACCGCCGTCAGACCTCAATGTTTACAAGGTGTTGTGTATACCGCCGTCAGACCTCGATGTTATCAAGGTGTTGTGTATACCGCCGTCAGACCTCAATGTTTACAAGGTGTTGTGTATACCGCCGTCAGACCTCGATGTTAACAAGGTGTTGTGTATACCGCCGTCAGACCTCAATGTTATCAAGGTGTTGTGTATACCGCCGTCAGACCTCAATGTTAACAAGGTGTTGTGTATACCGCCGTCAGACCTCAATGTTTACAAGGTGTTGTGTATACCGCCGTCAGACCTCAATGTTAACAAGGTGTTGTGTATACCGCCGTCAGACCTCAATGTTATCAAGGTGTTGTGTATACCGCCGTCAGACCTCAATGTTAACAAGGTGTTGTGTATACCGCCGTCAGACCTCAATGTTATCAAGGTGTTGTGTATACCGCCGTCAGACCTCAATGTTTACAAGGTGTTGTGTATACCGCCGTCAGACCTCAATGTTATCAAGGTGTTGTGTATACCGCCGTCAGACCTCAATGTTATCAAGGTGTTGTGTATACCGCCGTCAGACCTCAATGTTATCAAGGTGTTGTGTATACCGCCGTCAGACCTCAATGTTTACAAGGTGTTGTGTATACCGCCGTCAGACCTCAATGTTATCAAGGTGTTGTGTATACCGCCGTCAGACCTCAATGTTATCAAGGTGTTGTGTATACCGCCGTCAGACCTCAATGTTTACAAGGTGTTGTGTATACCGCCGTCAGACCTCGATGTTATCAAGGTGTTGTGTTAACATATATTATTGCATGTTTTATGTGGTGTTTGATGCATGAACTTGATTACTGTGTAGGAATGTGTGATACGTAGTCATTAACACATCACTTTATATAGGGATGCATGTATGTTACCACAGCAACAGTCACCATGTGCGCACAGGATACATCATCTGATCACGCACGTATAATACCATTTAAACTCAGGAAATAAAGACCCTACTTATTTCAAATCATGTGGGAAATGTTATATTTCCCATTTGAAATGTGACACAGTTTTTAAATAAACAAGAAGGGTCTGCTATCAGTGTCAGAATAATAATAAAAAAAAGATTAAGTGTGTAAAACGTATGAGGGCATTCATGTTTTCATCATTCCGTGTAGCTTTACCGGAAATATCAACTGATACTGGTTTGATTTGTATCTCTGCAGGGTGACTGTTGCTGAAGATGTTTGGTTTGGGGAAAATGTTACAAAGCTGCGGCAGCGGATGCCGCCTGTTATGGAATGACCCAGTAAAGCAAGCCGAAGGGTACGGAACCGTGAGTAAGGAGGATGGCGGAATGGAGTCGGACGATCCGTTCGAGTTTGATGACGAGCCAGACTTAATTTTCACTCAACCTTATCCAAAGACAATTTGGTCAGACTCGACTATGCATTCGCCAATCGTGAAAAACGTCACAGTGTCCACAAACGGGACAGCGTCTACCTCCGCAAGTAGTATGTTCAACTCGCCCATCGTCAAAAAATCGGTCCCTGTAGTCAAAGATATTTCACCAAGTGATACCCGTGTTCACACTTCTTCGCAAAAACAATCACCTGTCATACAAAATTCTATCGAACGGCCGTCACCGCACGTTGGCGTTCACTCGTCGGTCTACACCAAGAAATCCTCACCGGAAGTGACACGGAAAGCAAAGACGGACGAATCGGTCAGTATACAGATGGTATCGGTTGTGTGATAAGACAGAGAATGAAAAGGTAAATTTACAGATATGCTGTAGATCATTTGGGTATAGCACAGACTACATCCGGTACATCCAACAGAACTGGTAATGCACATTCGCTATGAACATCTGAGTGCAGCAAATGCTTTAATGGTGGATTCGTCTCGTGAAATATGTGAAATATTCCATAATATGACGTCATTTCGTCACCAGAATATCTATTTTACTGTCATTTGATCCAATCACATCGAAATTGTACAATTGTATTTCCCACTGTGCTACAGTGTTACGTGCACACTGTGTACGGCCAAGGCAATCTAGGCACATATTGAAAACGAGGTTGTAATCTTAAGTGTCGTGTGCAGATTATACCCAGCCAGGCGGATTTATAAACATTGGTGTCGTGTGCAGATCAGACATATTGAAGACTAGGTTGTAGACAAAATGGCATACGCTGACACAGTATAGGAGGTTATAATGTGTGATAAGACTGATGTGTATTCTGTGTATACGTAATTAGCTCATTAGTATTTATTGAGGTCGTAACTTGTAATCTTAATGATTTAGCATGTTGTGATGTTTTCACGGGCTTAATTACAACTAAGTACGTGGTGTTATCATTTTCTATGTGCCTTATGAGTAAGCAGGGATGTTTTATTCGCCATTTAGGTGACTACTTTTTAAATCGCCATTCGTACATGGTTACAGGATCATCCACAAATGATTATACACGTCGCTATTTATCAAATATTTACAATGCGGGTTTTATCTAAAAACTGGTCGCAAAAATGACACAGCTGTCATTTTAATGGTATATTTAGTAGTGGAGGTTGTATTCTCAATCACCACATTTTCCTTGTTGTTTGAAAAGGGTTGAGATAGGTGATTTCTTGATGGGCACTTTAAGAAGTTTTGGTCATATTTCTGGTCTTTCTTGTGGTGATTTTTTTCCTTGTGTTATTTAGTACTTTATTCAGAAGAAAAAGACAAGAATCAACAGGATCTCCCTTTCCTAGCTAACAAATAAAAAGGCGTGCTCACTTTGAGGACAGTTTCTAACAGGCAGTAACCTGGTTAAATAGAAAGACACCACAAGAATCCTTTGCCAAATAAACGACTTTCCGTGGTTTCCAATCTACCCGTCGTGGCCGTGGTAGTTTCCACTCCTAATCAACCAGTCAATCAGCTGTGGAGTTTTAAACGAGACAATCTTGTAATTGTGATATATTTCCAGTATAATACATCTGTGTAGTTACAGTTTTACGTAATATAGTTTTAACTAAGCTATCACTACAGAGAGTGTCGGGTACAAACCAAGAAGAAAGCCAAGGATTCCACGACGCGTTGCATCAATTTGTAATATAGTTGCATGGTTTAAGGTGCTTTCAATGATAATGCATGTAATCAAGGGTAGACGTTATGTAAGTTAACTCTTTCTACACATTAAAGAAGTCAAAATGTATACCTTAATTCGGGGAAGTTGGTGCTCTACATGATACTGCACATTACAACAGTATACCCCGTCACGAATGTCAGACTAAATCACGACGAGACATTAACATTTTAGACCTCAGAGCGAATGTCAGACTCAATCACGACGAGACATTAACATTGTAGACCTCAGAGCGAATGTCAGACTCAATCACGACGAGACATTAACATTGTAGACCTCAGAGCGAATGTCAGACTCAATCACGACGAGACATTAACATTGTAGACCTCAGTACGAATGTCAGACTCAATCACGACGAGACATTAACATTGTAGACCTCAGTACGAATGTCAGACTCAATCACGACGAGACATTAACATTGTAGACCTCAGAGCTAATGTCAATATAACAACACATACATCAACACTCACATTTATATATAGCGTAATAAGAGTTCAGAGCTTCAATCACAGTAGACATTAACATTGTACAAGTAATCAGTGCGAATGTTTGCTTTACTCAATGTTTTGTTGTGACATTAACATTGTAGACCTCAGAGCGAATGTCAGACTCAATCACGACGAGGCATTAACATCGTAGTCTTCGTCACGAATGTCGGACTCAATCACGACGAGACATTAACATTTTAGACCTCGTCTCGAATGTGTGACTAAATCACGACGAGACATTAACATTTTAGACCTCGTCTCGAATGTGTGACTAAATCACGACGAGACATTAACATTGCTCAGAGCTAATGTCAATATAACAACACATACATCAACACTCACATTTATATATAGCGTAATAAGAGTTACCTATTTAGAGCTTTGATCACAGTAGCATTAATAGTACAAGTAATTAGTGCAGATGGTTTGCTTTACTCTAATGTTTTGTTGTGTTATTCTAGTATGAATATAGTTTATACTGGTGGCCAGTTTACACTAATATGAGTGTCCAGTATTTTTATTGTCGTGACTTTGTACTGGTGAGTGTCCAGTTGATACTGGTGTGAGTGTCCAGTTGATACTGGTGTGAGTGTCTGGAATTACTGGTGTGAGTGTCCAGTTTATACTGGCGTGTGTGTCCAGTTTATACTGGTGTGAGTGTCCAGTTGATACTGGTGTGAGTGTCCGGAATTACTGGTGTGAGTGTCCAGTTTGTACTGGTGTGAGTGTCCAGTATGTACTGGTGGGAGTGTCCAGTTTGTACTGATGTGAGTGTCCAGTTTGTACTGGTGTGAGTGTATAGTTTATACTGATGTGAGTGTCCAGTTTATATTTGTGTAAGTGTCCAGTTTGTACTTGTGCGAGTGTCCAGTTTGTACTGGTGTGAGTGTCCAGTTTGTACTGGTGTGAGTGTCCAGTTTATACTGATGTGAGTGTCCAGTTTGTACTGGTGTGAGTGTCCAGTTGATACTGGTGTGAGTGTCCAGTTTATACTGGTGTGAGTGTCCAGTTTATACTGGTGTGAATGTCAAGTTTGTACTGATGAGAGTGTCCAGTTTGTACTGATGTGAGTGTCCAGTTTATACTGGTGTGAGTGTATAGTTTATACTGATGTGAGTGTCCAGTTTATATTTGTGTAAGTGTCCAGTTTGTACTTGTGCGAGTGTCCAGTTTGTACTGATGTGAGTGTCCAGTTTGTACTAGTGTGAGTGTCCAGTTTGTACTGGTGTGAGTGTCCAGTTTGTACTGGTGTGAGTGTCCAGTTTATACTGGTGTGAGTGTCCAGATTGTACTGGTGTGAGTGTCCAGTTTATACTGGTGTGAGTGTCCAGTTTATACTGGTGTGAGTGTCCAGTTTATACTGGTGTGAGTGTCCAGTTTGTACTGATGTGAGTGTCCAGTTTATACTGGTGTGAGTGTATAGTTTATACTGATGTGAGTGTCCAGTTTGTACTGGTGTGAGTGTCCAGTTATACGGATATGAGTGTCCAGTTTATACTGATGTGAGTGTCCAGTTTGTACTGGTGTAAGTGTCAAGTTTATACTGGTGTGAGTGTCCAGATTGTACTGGTGTGAGTGTCCAGTTTATACTGATGTGAGTGTCCAGTTTATATTGGTGCAAGTGTCCAGTTTGTACTGGTGTGAGTGTATAGTTTATACTGATGTGAGTGTCCAGATTGTACTGGTGTGATTGTCCAGTTTATACTGGTGTGAGTGTCCAGTTTATACTGGTGTGAGTGTCCAGTTTATACTGATGTGAGTGTCCAGATTGTACTGGTGTGAGTGTCCAGTTTGTACTGGTGTGAGTGTCCAGTTTATACTGGTGTGAGTGTCCAGTTTATACTGGTGTGAGTGTCCAGTTTATACTGGTGTGAGTGTCCAGTTTGTACTGATTTGTACTGGTGTAAGTGTCCAGTTTGTACTGGTGTGAGTTTCCAGTTTGTACTGGTGTGAGTGTCCAGTTTATACTGGTGTGAGTGTCCAGTTTATACTTGTGTGAGTGTTCAGTTTGTACTGATTTGTACTGGTGTAAGTGTCCAGTTTGTAATGGTGTGAGTTTCCAGTTTGTACTGGTGTGAGTGTCCAGTTTATACTGGTGTGAGTGTCCAGTTTATACTGGTGTGAGTGTCCAGTTTGTACTGATTTGTACTGGTGTAAGTGTCCAGTTTGTAATGGTGTGAGTTTCCAGTTTGTACTGGTGTGAGTGTGTGAGTGTCCAGTTTATACTGGTGTGAGTGTTCAGTTTGTACTGATTTGTACTGGTGTAAGTGTCCAGTTTGTAATGGTGTGAGTTTCCAGTTTGTACTGGTATGAGTGTCCAGTTTATACAGAAGAGTGAGGTATATATCTCCATCACACGATCACTGATACATTTGTACTGGTATGAGTGTCCAGTTTATACAGAAGAGTGAGGTATATATCTCCATCACACGATCACTGATACATTTGTAAATTTTTAATTTGGAGTCTTACTTTAACGTCAACTTATCATTGATATATTTTGTTATGTACGATTTTATCTCTTTTAAAGTTTTGGTTTATGGTAAACCAATTGCCAAAAAAATTCCAGTGTATTTATCTATTATATATGTTTTGATTTACAGAAAGGTACATTCCAGTTATATCATAATGGTGTTTGAGGCTTCGATTGCTTGAGGCTTCAAGATTTTAATTAAAATATTGATACATTTTTATATTACGATAATGAAATTCTCCAAAGATATGCTGTTGTATTCAATAAATAATAAATACATATTATAATGCTTTTATGTGTGAGTTTGCGTGCTATATCTCGCATGTACATCGTGTGGTAGACATCTGTCGGAGGGCTTAATACTAGATTACACTGTCACAGTCACACAACATAAACTCCTGACATATTATCATATCTACAATAATACATCTACACAAGATACACAGAACATTTACAGTACATACAGAGGTGGACTGTCTCACACAGAACATTTACAGTAGATACAGAGGTGGACTGTCTCACACAGAACATTTACAGTACATACAGAGGTGGACTGTCTCACACAGAACATTTACAGTACATACAGAGGTGGACTGTCTCACACAGAACATTTACAGTACATACAGAGGTGGACTGTCTCACACAGAACATTTACAGTACATACAGAGGTGGACTGTCTCACACAGAACATTTACAGTAGATACAGAGGTGGACTGTCTCACACAGAACATTTACAGTACATACAGAGGTGGACTGTCTCACACAGAACATTTACAGTACATACAGAGGTGGACTGTCTCACACAGAACATTTACAGTACATACAGAGGTGGACTGTCTCACACAGAACATTTACAGTACATACAGAGGTGGACTGTCTCACACAGAACATTTACAGTACATACAGAGGTGGACTGTCTCACACAGAACATTTACAGTACATACAGAGGTGGACTGTCTCACACAGAACATTTACAGTACATACAGAGGTGGACTGTCTCACACAGAACATTTACAGTACATACAGAGGTGGACTGTCTCACACAGAACATTTACAGTACATACAGAGGTGGACTGTCTCACACAGAACATTTACAGTACATACAGAGGTGGACTGTCTCACACAGAACATTTACA